TACTAGAGGGATATGCGCCTACAATATATGCAACGAACACATGTAGTCCTTCCAAACACGGAAGGAGACGCCAAATTATCGGATTTAGTGCCCGTATTCCAACTGCTTGCATTTTTTCGTTGAAAAGAGGATTGTGTATCTACTACGATTACTTTAACCCATTGACGACCATGCAGTCCATATGTAGACTGCACGTTTTCGGCCGCATGGGACCGTGCAGCCCACATGTGGACTGCAGTTGTATTTTTTGTTTTATTTATCTATATTTCCATCTTTTTTTACAATTTTTCTTCTCACAACATTACATCAGGCCTAAATGAAACTACTTACAACGTGATCCTGGAAAATCTTACAATTTTGCAATTGTAAAGGTGTTCTTCCGAAGGGGTACATTACCTTGGTGAAATCTTCGTTCCTTGAACAACCTCGAAAAATGAATATTATTTCAAAATATTATTGTTGTCATTAGCATTTCCGCTGGTATCAACTAAATCCAAAGCTCGTAAAAGTTCCCCAAAACGATTTCTGGTGATGATTGAACTCATAATTGAATGGTCACTAGAACGAATCCCGTTCTTATAATAAAGATCAATAATCACTCAATGTGGGCATTCTTACCGATCCCATTTGACGGATCATTCGGAAATACCTATAATTGCTCCTATAAACTTCAAAAAATGGTCATTCCGGACCATGAAGTCCACATGTGGGCTGCAGTCGCGAAAGGACGAAAAGCGCGCTGGTCCCTCGCGGCGCTTTCCCGCAAAACGTCATGGTCGTCAATGGGTTAAAAAACGCTCATTATTTCGAAATCATGAGTCTAGATATTTCGTGTATTTTTACTTGGTAAGTATCATGAATTAGACAAGAGCATTACTAAATGTGATAAGAGAACTTCCAAAATTCAGATTCCGTCGCAGAGCGATTCAGGCGCTCGCAGGACGACTTAGTTCAGCGAACACAACTAGACTATCGCGGGCCCCTTCTACAAAAATTTCATGACGGCGAGTTCAAATCTAAAAATGACGTTGACGTCATCTCAGGCTACGCACGGATCGGTCCAAGCTTGTATGGAGAGGTGAGTTGGATTCCATCAAAAGCTTCTTATAAGTAATGAACACTATATCGAAACAGTTTTTCGCCGTCTTTCCTGTTATATATATAAGGTTGGTTTTTATGTGCGATGCTGCTGAATGGGCTAATTTCGCTGCTTCGTCTTAGGAGTTTGAGCGTCTTCTGGAGCAAACGGAACGGAAATACACCACATATCGCGCAAGGATGTCACAGCCCAATCTGCATAGCAGGTCTCGTCATTGGAGCACGAGTTATCTCGAAACCGACGTTGACACTGGAAAGCCTGAAATGACGATAGCAGCTATAAAGGTACGATAGCGAATCTTTGATTGTTATTCGATTCCACTTCTACCGTTTTGCTTTACTCATTCGATTTCTATGCTTCTTTCTCATTTTTAGGGTAGAAATCATTTATATCCTCGACATTAAGATTTCGCAGCGAAGTAATCATACAAGGGCTGTATCCGTAGTCAAAGTGGATCTCGTGAGCCCATTCTTGAATATATTTTTGAATGATCATCTTGGCTTCCCATTGACAAAATGATTCACTCTTTGGTAGTATTGTTATGGTGTTTTTCAACTCCTTTTAACAATATGAGGAGTGGAGGAGAGTGCGGCTTTTGACTCGTTTGCAAGTACAGGGTGTTAAACGAAGTAATGCAGTTCGAACCCTACCGTATTAAAGCAAACTACAATATGGTCTCAAAGTGATTTCCCTGAACTTGAAGGTGTGCAGAACATCAGAACATCACCCTTCGAAAATCTCGCCGGCTTGTGAGGAGTATGTGCACTCGTCCTATTCTACTGGAACTAGACAATCTCAACCTCATGCGCTCTCATTTTGCGCTTCTAAGGTGGGCTCCATAATGCAGCTGCAGTACCGCATCGCGTTTGTGATGCTTTTGCCAGAGAGACCAGCCGAATGCTTAGCTCGTCTCAGCACGATACATCTTGGGCAGCTTCTTTTGTCGTATGCGCCCTCGTTCTGAAATAATGTCCTGCTCTCGCTAGATCCAGTCCGTCAAGAAGTGGCAGTAAAGCAAATTTGGGAAAGCGTTTTATGGAATTTTCTGCACCAACACATTGCGAACGGGGAGTGTCAAATAGATGGAGGTTACGGTAGTACGGCTTTGCTCCACTTAGGTTTTTCGCATTGCAGCCTGTAATGCTAGCTGTCGCGATATCCAACACGATGGTGTTTATTTCGAACGGATTTGAGTAGCAACTTAAAAACGAGAAACTCCGCTGAAAAAAGACACAGAAGTTGATTTAGAGTTTTCTAGAGACAGTAAAGAAACGGAGAGCTCACCACGTTGAATCACTTTCGAATGATGAGGGGGAAGGGGGGGGGGGGGGGGAAGGGGAAATATAAGCTGAAAACATTGAAATGCACGGCCAGGAATCTGAACCCTCATTTAGCCCCACCCTCTTATTGCACAATAATCCACCTAGAAACTATTTTTACCATGTCATTCCGTTGTGACAAATGACGGGGAGAAAACGGCATCATAGGTTGATCCGATAGTAATTTAAAAACTTCAAAAAGTAGGTGCAAGAGCACGTCTGCGGCATAAGTTCCACCGCGGAAGGTCGTTCGAAATGGGGATCTATCATTTTCAGTATACATATATATATACATATATATGTATGCATATATACCTATATTATGTAGACATGTAATATGCAGTATGCAATATACTTACATTACCAGTTGGACTGTGCACGCTAGCGAGTGCATTATATTGTCTACGATGGTGTCATTCAGCGGAGTATTGGATTATTAGAATCCAACATCCCGCTGAATGACACCATCGTAGACAATACAATGAGTGAGATGATGATAATGAGATAGTTCTCTCTAGATTTAAGCGCTGAACTGTTGAGATCATCACGCTCGATATATTTCATATGAGCAGAATTATTAGTGGTTGATCATAGCCCCGTCCACCTAAGTGCAGACCCTTCCAATATAAAAACTTGACCACCCTTCTTTTAACTGCTACTCACCATCTTCTCCGAACTCTGGAAGGTTTCTGAAGAGATGAATTTTCGGTCAAGGTCCCGCTTCCTTGTGGCAGCTCCGCTCACTTCGAGGACTTAACCACATCTGTTCCAATACCTCTAACCACTTTTTTCCCGCATGCTAGAACGTTTTCGAACGAAGTTACATTCATCTTTGAAGAGTAGCTTTCATCTCAACGCACGCCCCGCCCATCGTGGATGCGGCTTTGCTATGCTTACGCATGCCCAGCACGCATAAGGCCTTGCTCACTCTTTTTATTTTTTTCTGACCTCGACGCCTTCGTTGAATCGAGTTATGAATCTCTGTAGAAAGTAGCGCCCACTGCGGGAACGCTCCGCCCACTGCTGGTAGGTTTCCTTTATCCTACTAGCAGGCGGCTACCTACGCTATCGCGTACGCTAGGGGCTCTAGCCATGAGAGACGGGGCCATAAGAGCTTCTGTTTTTCATTATAGACCTTTATCATCTCAGCCTCTTCCCTGGCACTTCTGTAGCGGCCATCATTTTTTTGTCTCATGGGAAGCATGGAATTTTTTCACTAGATCACGAAAATTCGGACTTACCGGCAAGCAGTTCAAGAAGGGTGTTTGATGTGTAATAGAAAAGTTTGTCCAGCTCGGCTGGAGTATTAGCATGGTATACATAACACTTGATTTTGAAACATGTATCATAATTTGTCAAGGCAACACTTCTGTATGCACAATATTCTTCAGCAAGGGCGACGGGGGTTAATAAAGCAAAAACTTCAACCTTTTCTGACCTCAATTAACAAATATTTTGGTTTGGGCTCTGTGTGGCCATGAACACTAACTTTGTAAGGTCAGCCCCTTTGGATAGCGTGGGGATTTACACGTCTACAGGGTATGCACCTGCGTGGCCGGGATTGCTGTAGAGTGTATATTATGAGGTCTGAAGTTAATGTAGTGCATTTGCTCTTGTGTAGAAGGGACTACTGTGTGCGGAAACATGGATACTAACTTTTAAAAAATTTTTAGCCTAATTTTTAAAGAGTTTAGTGGTATTACCTAGTTGTACACCTGTGTGGTCAGGTTTAGTGTGGAGAACAGGTCTATAAATTTTTGATCTCACTCCCGCCTCCCTCTTTGCAAATCCTACCCACTTCAGACTTTGAACTGCATTACTTTTATTCCCTCCAGACACCTTTTTCCCGTGTCTAAAACGCATCTGAAGAGACTTAATGATTTTGATGTAAGCCCACCTCAGTGCCAATCCCGCCCACCTGTGGAATCTGACCACATTTGTGCTGTTACCTCTTACCACTTTTTTCCCGCATCCCACAACGTTTGTAAATAGAGTTATAAATTTTTGAGCTAAGCCTCACCCACTTTGGTGCCAAACCCGCCCACTTCTGGGTTTTACCACATTTGTTCTTCTACACCTTAACATCTTTTTGCCGCATCCCAGAAAAATTCTGAATAGAGTTATAAATTTTTGTCTAAGCCCTGCCCATTTCTAGGATTTGACCACATTTGTTCTTTTACACCTTAACACCTTTTTGCGGCATTCCAGAACTTTCTCAGGCAAAATTGCATTCATTTTTTGAAAAATGGCTCTCGTCTCAACGCACGCCGCACCCATCGTGGGCGGTATTTCGCTAAGCTTACGCATGCTCAGCACGCATAAGGCCCTGCTCACTCTTTTAATCTTTTTCCTGGCCTCTGCTCCTTAATTGACCCGACTTCTCCAGATGTTTCTTCATGTTCTATCGAATTTTCGGGGAGGCGGCCTGCGCCCCAATGGCAAGGTGGCGCAGCCCTTCGCAGCCAACTTGCCATTGGGGCGCATTGGCCTCAATTGTCAACCATACAGTGCAATTTCTATGTCGACCATCTCGTCCAAGTCGGTCGGCCTCTCGAACTACGATCAGCTATCGAACTAATTGCTTGGCTGTTGCTGTTTCTTTGCACATACAGTAGCGCTCAAAATATTCAGCCAAGCCTTTTCGGCCGTAACTTTTTTCTCAGTGGAGTAAATCGCGTGAAATTTTGATATGTTTGGCTAAAGCATATTTTACGCTGTCCAACACTTCTTGACTGCAAAGCAGCAATATCCACATAACTAATGTGAAGGCGTTTGTAGACTATGCTGAAAGCAAGTTTGTGACGTCTGCAGTTATTCGGACCTTATGTACGTTTTTCTTCTCTTCTGGGTTCGACATTAGCGCTCGTACACTTTAGACATGGCAAAAAGGGAAGAAATTCCGGAAGGGCCGTCATTCATATTTCCCGTCGATTTTTTGTTCACGACTTTTGGGATATCTGGAACACGATCAGACTGCAGACTAACAGCGGTAAATATTTACAATATAGCCCTGCCACACATATTGAAATTTCGCATGATCGCATCAAGTAGCAAAGAAGTTACGACTGAAAAGTACAACTGAAGGAGCATTTTTCCGAGTACTTTTGAGCGCTACTGTAGGTGCGAAGCGACCGTGATCAAGTGTGAAGACTGAGGGATCACTGAGCTTGAAATAAAACTGAAAAATTGATCAATCATCTTCGAACTGTAGGAGTTTGGAATTTTTTGAACATTTTCATATGCTTGTTTTCTTGGATTTAATTTACAGGATTAACCTTTTTGGTCTCTGAGTGAAGAAAAACGGTAGGCTGGGCCATGCTATGCTACTGTGTGCTATGAATGTGAACGGATTTGATTTTGAAAATGTAAATTACTGTTGTAATTTGCACAAAAAGATCGATGAACTGATAACTCCTGCAATGTTTTACAATTTCCTCTCTTCCTACTCGAATCATAAGGTTGACCGAAAAGTTTGCTTCGCACCTATGTGCGAAGAAACTCTAATTAGTTCGATAGCTGATCGTTGTTCGAGAGGCTGGCCGATTTGGACGAGATGGTCAACGTAGAAATTGCGCTGTATGGGTAGCAACTGAAGCCCATGCGCTCCAATAGCAAAGGGCTGCGAGGGGCCGCGCCAAACGACATACACCCGAATTCCCGTACAAACAAACAGACCGACAGGGCGCTTTATATATAATATGGTTACTTACTCCTTAATAAATGTAAAGTGCTTGTGTCTGTCTGTCTGTCTGTCTGTTTGTCTGTCCGTCTATTGCGAAATTCGATATTACCTGTAGAAAGACATGGAGAAGGGTCAATTTTGCTGTGGGTTGAGCATAGGGCAAGACCAAGAGATCAGCAGAGCACAGGCCACAGGGGGTGGACCTGCATAGGAGTGGGCAGTATCTTGGGCATATCTTTCTCATTTGATCTCATCAGTCTACAAAA